GATATATTTTCTCCATGACAGTCTTTCCCCAACCTAGTCCTTTGGGACTTCTAACAGTGCACCCATCACTGCTGTAATTAAGTCCATTCACCTTGCTACCAGCCGTCCTCTTCTCCTCTTTGCTTCCATCTTTCTTATCTTATAGACTTTTCCAGAAAGTTAGGTCTTCACATAATGTGTCCTAAGTATGATAATTTGAGCCTGGCTGTTTACATCTAGAGTGAGAACTGTGGGTTGATTTGTTCAATGATCTGTTTGTTTATTTTTTTGGCTATCCATGGTATTCTCAGGAGTCTTCTCCAACACCAAAGTTCAAAAGTGTCAATACTGTTTCTATCCTGCTTCTTCAAACTCCAACTTTCATTTCCACAGAGTGTCACAGGGAAAACTATTGCCTGCATCTGAATATCTTTTCCAAGGCCTTAGTTGCTACTCTACCAAGTGCTAGTCTTGGGTGTTGGTTTCTTTATTGTTGATAGTCAATCCTAAAAGGCAGAACCTATCCACCACTTCAGTATCTTCATTGTCAAGTATAAAGCTGGTTGCTGTACCTGTTGTCATTAGTTTGGTCTTATTTATAATTTATCTTAGTCCCATTTTCCACTGTGTTCCTTGAATTTCTTATTAGAGCTTGCAAATAATTTCCATTTTCAGCTATCAGAGTAATGTCATCAGCATAGCACAGGTTATCAGTATTACTTCTTCCAGTTTTAAAACTATGCTCATGTTCTTCCAATCCAGCTTCCCTCAATATATATTGAGCATGTAAATTGAATAAATAAGGGGAGACTATACAGCCTTGACTCCTTTGCTGACCTTGGGTAATTCTGTTTCATCATGTTCTGTCTGTACTGTGGCTTCCTGACTTGTGTATAGTTTTCACATGAGGACAATGAGATGTTCTGGAATTCCTATTTTTCTAATATTCCATAATTTGACATGTTTGACACAAACAAAGCCTTTCTATAACCAACAAAGCACATATTGACTTCTTTTTGGCATTCTTTGGCTTTCTCAATTATCCAGCATGCATCAGCAATAATGTCTCATGTTCCATGGCCTTTTCTAAAGACACATGGACCTCCTGGCATCTCCTTTTTCATGGAGGGCTGTAATCTGGGTTGGATGATCCTAAACATTATTTTGCTAGCATGTGAAATTAAGGATATTATATGAAAGTTTGCACACTCTGTTAAGTTTCCTTTTTTTTGGTATTGGTAGGTAAACTGATCACTTCCAATCAGTTGGCCACCATGTCATTCTCCAGAATTACTGACATAATTTGGTTAGAACCTTTACAGATTCTTCTCTTGCTTGCCATATTTCTGTAGCCTTCCAACTTGATAATGACCAGATCTAACTTCATCTTCTAGTACTGGAGGTTTTTTTGCATAGGGAATATCTTCTAACATATCTTGGATGTTGACATGTCTACTGTACAACATTTCAGTATACTCCTTCCTCTTTCTTTGATCTTCTTTGAATTGGTTACTATCTGTCCATTGGTGTCCTTTGGCACACCAATTCAAGGTTAGAACCTTCTCAGTTCAGATATCTTTTCAAATACTTTCTTTGTTTTTCCATGTCTGTTTCCATCTTTGATGACTTTACAAGTGTTGCTGTAATACTGCTTCTTGTTTTTTCTAACAAGTGTTTGAAATGCTTAGTTAAGTTCCTTCCTAAGACCATTGTCTTTCTTGACTTGGGCTCCTCTTCTCTTTCTGGCAATTTCTATGGTTAGTTCTGACATCCAGTTTGCTTTCTTTTGATTCTTGGTCTTTGGCATTTTTTTCCCCCACACTCATCCTTAACAACTTCTTTGATTTCATTCTACAGTAGCTCTAGCTCCCTATCAATGAGGTTCAGAATTTCAAAGTGATTTCTGATATTCTCCTTCAAAATGGTGTGTATATGGCCAAGACTGGAAATCAGTGCTGTATATGCAAGGGAGAAAGAGTGAAGGGGCAGAAGATAGAAACATTATTGTTTAACTTGGACATTGAACTGCTTATCTCACTCCCCTGAGTGATGGGGAAGAACCATGATCACACTCAGAAATATATTACATGCACATGAAGTCACAAGTCAAAAGACACTTTATTTTTACTGCTACTGAGTTGTATGGTATATAAATGGAGGGGAGATGGGAATAGTAGTAGTAATGTTGGAGAATCCTTCAGTACTATGGCCTTGTCTCCTCAGTTTTAATCACAGACATATATTCACCCTAGAACCAAAGCCAGCATAGGGCTGGATCAGAATCAGTCTTTCTTCTGTGAAGGAGTACATCTGATAAATGTTATTACAATGAAATAAATAATTCATATTTTTTTTACAATTGGTTTACCAAAAACTAAAGGCAGAGATTCAACCCCAGCTGAAGGAAATACTTTTTTACACAGTGCATCATTAAACTGTGAAATTTCCTGCCAACAATTGTGATAATGACAGCCAATTTGGGGCACAGCCAGATGACTCTGTTAAAATGCTTTCTTCTAGTCTGTGAGCCAGAAGAAAAGTATGCCAATCTAAATTATGCTGCCCTCGTTGCCAATCTTTATTCTGCCTTTATTCAGTTAGTTGGGCTATTTCTGAACATGGATCTAGTGCTCTTCTGAAGAAACACTAAATCCGTGTCCGAAAATAATCTGCCTGACAGGGCAGAGGTACAGAGGAAGGGTGTGCAAGGTGAAGCAGGAGATGGTGACTGATAATCTGTTCTCAACTAATGCTGCAAAGGAATATCAGCCCCAGCAAATGAATAGGTAAAATGGTGCTCCCCAAATAATAACTAAGTAAAAAAGTATGGCATGTGAACTCCTGAAGGGCACTCATTTGAGACAGAACCAGCAACAAATAGCTGGCAGAATCCAGCAGTCTTTCCTGGTTTAATCAACCTTCTGGGCAGCACAGGAATAGAGCTCTCTCAAATGCATGCTAGCCCTGTTTTTTAAATACATTCATTCAGATAATGCTAAATCATCTTTAAAAATCAGGTCTAGTGCTTTTTCAAATGAGGGCTAAGTCTGAGTATACAAAAGGCTTTAATGAGACCCCACACAGCTTCAGAAAGCACTATTGAGGAAACACCCAAGCAGATGCCTCTGCAAACGCCAGATGTTCAGTCCCTCCTGCAGCCCACATGAAAATGGCAATGGAGGGCAGAATCCAATGACTGAAAGGTGTGGGAACAGGCCCACAGCAGTCTAAAATGGCCAACAGGAAATGGGCAGATTCAAGGGTCAAATATAAAATTCTGCAGGAATTTAATAGAGGAGGACTAGGTTTACCTGATTTTCAGTTGTGTTTTGCAGCCTGCTGTTTGGTTTGGATGAAAGAGTGGGTGTTGCTGAGAAATAGAAGAACGTTAGAATTGGAAGCTGATAACTTGAGGTATGGTTGGCATGGGTTTTTATGGTACAATAAAGTTAAAAATGTATGTAGATTAATGTAGATTTTAAAAATCATTATGTGAGAAGTGCCATATTAAGAATATGGAATAGATGCAAGCCCAGGTTGTGCCTGAAAATACCTTTATTGGTCTCAGCACAGGAAGCATTTTATAGAAGAAAAACAGCAGATAGAAAGAAATGACTAACATATCAGTTTACTAATACAGGAAGATGGAGAACTTAAGACAAAGTCAAGAGAACAGCTGACTGCAGAGGGACACAGTTTTCAATGTTTTTCATATGCACAATTAAAAGAAAGATTTAGTATAGATAAAAGGGTAACTGGAACTGAAAAACATAAAATGGAATTTGAAAATGAACTATGTACAAATGATGAACATGTAATTGCAAAAATGTATAAATTTTGTTAAGATTTGAAACTGAAGAGGAACAAGTTAAGGGTTGTATGATAAAATGGGCTACCAATTTTGGTTACAATATACAGATAGACACATGGGAGAGAATGTAGGTAAATATGATAAAATTTACACTGTGTTATAGCTTAAGAGGAAAATTTTTATAAAATGATGTATCAGTACATAACAGCAGAGAAGCTATAAAAAATGCATAAAGTACCTCAAGTCAATGTTGGAAATGAGAAAAACTTGAATGGACATTTTATCATGCATGGTGGGCTTGTGAAAAGCCAAGAAATTTTGGATACAAATACATAAAATGATACAAAGACTGCTAAAGATTCATATGATAAAGAAACCATATCTGTTTCTACTGGGATTTAGGGATAACAAATTAGAAAAGACTCATGGAAGATTGATTTTCTATATGGTAACCACAGCAAGATTACTGTATGCACAATGATGGAAGAGTACAGAAATTCCCACAATGGAAGAATGGATTGTGAAAATGTCAGAACTGACAAAAATGGCAAAACTGACCTCTTTGGTCAGGGAGAAAACAATAAGTACTTTTCTGAAAGACTGGAAACCTTTTATGGACTTTTAGCTAAAAGAAGAAAACATGGAATGATGATTTATGGATTTAATGACTGAAAAAGATGAGGATTAAATAAGGGGCTGAAGGGATCTCTGGGATAGTTAAGAGGGAGGGGAGATGGTGCATTTGTTAATATCTTTTGAAAAGAAGGTTGGAAATAATTTTGGGGTTTTTTTGTTTTTTTATTTGAACTTTATTCTCTTTTTTCTTTTTTCTTTGTCTTTTACTTATGAAAAAAATCTTTAATAAAAATTATATTATAAAAGGAACTGGGCAGATTCCAAACCCTGACTACATCATCATCCTTAAGATGAAGTATGCTAAATCATGTCCATAACAAAATTTGTGCCAGAAGAAGGGGCAAAATGCTCGAGGCAACTTTAAACTACCTCTGCTTTGGGATGGGAGTGAGATAACGTCATGAATACATAGCAAAAAAAAAAAAAAAATTACTGGGGCCCATTTGTACTGTAACCCAAGCAATTTCAAATGTACTTGCTCTATTTTTTATGTGTATATTTTCTTTCAGCTGAATTTGCTTTCCTCCATCCTATTAGTGATTCATCTTCATGCTGACTCTCAGAAGCCACATACCTGAGTGACTTTTTCAGTTACATTCTGGGTACGTTCGGTTACTTTGTGCGGGGCGATTATCTCAATCTCTGTGGTAGAGCCTGAACGATGCTTCTCAAGGTTGAATTCCACAAAGTTGAGGGTGAACTGTGGAATCTGGCTGATTGTCCTATATTTCACGAGGTTTGCATCTGATGTGGAATTTTGGTTGAGTTTGACTTGGGAGCCTTCTGGGGGAAAATAGATAAACATTTTGCTAGTTAGGATTTTAGCATGCAAAGATACCTAAACTTTAATTATCCAGAACAACCCATTTTTCTACAGCAAAATGGATAGGACAGAAGATTAAGAGACTGTAAGATCAAAGTTTTAAACACATAGGTTGGTGGGATTTCTCTTTGGTTTGTTTGTTAAAAGTACAGCATTTAGAAATAAAGGAATATCTCTTTATTCTGTGGGATTTTGATGCTTGGAAATATGATAAAAAGTTCCTCCAATTAACAGTACTGTAGAAAAACAACCAATAGTTTAGACTTTGATTTATATCTCCATTTGTGACCATTTTAATGTATTTAATTTAAAGGATTTGCATTTAATATCAAAAGGTGAACAAACTTCTCAAAGCTTCTAAAATATTTGCAAACACAATCATTTTAAACATTAATAAAAACAAACAACAGCAACTTCTAAAAGCACTCAGCCTATAAAAATACTAAAACCCAATACATATATACAGCTTGAACCTATCTTATAAAATAGCCAAAAAGGAAATGAATTATTTACATTTTTCCTAATAGTAGTATAATCAAAGAATTTATGTAGACAGTATTGCAATCAATCAATCAATCAATCAATCAAAATTCCATTGAATTCTGAATGAAAAACAATCATGAATGTGATGGGAAAATGTTCTACCAGTGACACTTCCCTGTTTTATTTGAAAATGCACACCCTAGTTAACTGACTCTGAACAAACGGTGCAATATTAATATCTCAGCATTACAGTTAGTGTTTCATATATTAATAAGATTCTCAGTAATGGTGCATTTCAGAACAAAGGCCCCTATTATATAAATGGTTTAGGAGAAGATTTTAAACATATATTTTCATATGCCCTTTGTTCCAAAAACTGCCTCTTTTCAAGAAAACTGGAAAAACAGTGTGACAGACACAGCAAGCTCTGAAGGTTTCATTACTCACAAATATATATCCCTGCTTGTTTGTTCACTTATTCTGACATACATTTTCCATTCAGAATCCATGGAGAAACATCCCTTTGCAATTTTGTCTCAATGGGCCTTAAAAATCACTTAGCTCAATTGTCAAAACAGGAAAGTGAAATCTGCAGCTCTGTAGCTTTGAAATATTTATGGTCTATAATATCTGAAAACCTTTGCCAACCACTCCTACTAAAACTTTCTTTCCCCTTAAACCTGTTGAAGCCCCCCTTTAATTTTATCAGCCTGCTAGGCTATTACAGCATAAAGGGCATTTTCTCCTGGATCAGGATATGGTTCAGTGATTAGCCAGGCTTTGCACAAACAAAGTGGGTTTTTTTAGCACTGTTCAGCTCTTCTTGTTGTGAGCTGCTATTCATTTCACCCTCTTTGGTCAACTCAGAAAGCAAACAATAAATAGTCAGCTGATTCTGTAGTCTATTTACTCTTTCCATATCAGTACTCAGCTCCTAGAGATTTTAGCACTGCCTTCCAAATTTTTTGCCTCATTACCCTAGTTGGATCACCAGTTGGATCTCCACTGTCATTTGTTTTGTCCCTTTCATCCTCTGTTAAATAGCCATTATTTATTACCTTCCTGTTTCTTCTATTTACAGAAAAACCTCCCCATCTCTTTCCTTCCCACTCCAGATGCACTTTTTGAACTACCCCAGAGCTCCCTTTGTCATTACTGTACGTTACAAAGCCTTTCATATCTGTTTAAACAAAGACAAGATGATGAAAAGTTTGTTCTAAGTAACCAATATGCCTAAGAGGACTTGAAGATACTTAAAACAACTTTCAGAACTACTAAAATAAATTTGCTCTTTTCTGTTCCTTCTGGTTTAAAGCTGCTAGCTATATTCTTAATGCCCAGTTGGTGACTTTTCATTCTTAATTGAACAGCCAGGTTTTCAACACAATGGCTGGAGAAAATGACAGTGCCAACTACAGTGACAAGGATTAGGTAGTCAGTCCGTTTTGGCAGTGGTGAGAACTGTCCAAAAGCTTTCTAATTACTATTTTTTTAAAAAGATCTGTCTGCTGAACAATAAGGGTTTAGCTAAAACTGTGTGCATGGATCCGTTAACTTCCTTGTTCAAAATCACTAGCTTTGCTATGACTCCTAGTTAGCACTTTATGGAGTTGCCTGACCACCTTCTGCCAGCCTGTATGCAGAGAAGAAGTAAGAACAGTCAGCAACAGACCCATGGCACATTGTTGCTAGCAGCATTACTGTACATGCTTTCCCTCAGTCTGAACTGGATTTCCCTCCTTTCCCTGAATTTCCTCTGAACCCAGACTCTGTAGTCTCCATTTCCTTCAGGAAGGCGACCTGGTGGACTCTACCTCCAGGCTGGAACTGGTCCAAGCCTCTGGCAGGGAGTGACCCTTGCAATCCCAGGGAAGTCAACTGTTATGCTCAGGCTGAGTGGTCTGCTGCAGAGACAGATGCATTCTCCAGCTGGGGCCCTCCTCTCCTTCTGTTTCAAACTGGGCACAATTCTCCATAAGCTTCAGCTCCCTCAATTTTAAGAAATCCCCTCCAGGCTTTAAGGCAGCCAGGAGAAAGTGTTTCATTAAGAGAGAAGGAAAAAGGAAAGAGAAAGGACTGAGAATGGTTGATAGCCACATTATTGTATCTGCTCAGTATAATTCCTTTCCAACACTACTTTGCTCTCCTATGAATGGTTGGGATTATATTTGCTTCATAATACTCCAAATTTTTATGGTATATTCAAAACATTTGTCCTACTTACTGATCTTTGCAACTGTTCTCTAGTTAGATCAGATAAAGAGTGTGGGAGAACAGGCTTATCATAGGCTACTTTATGATATAATAGGAGAGATAATTTTGAACCAGAAATTTCTTAGTTTATAGCTGTTAACAGATATGCTATTTTAGATTTAATCCAGTCTAAATTAGTCATACTAGTCCCAATCAAACAAACTGGATTTAAGTTAGTTATGATTAACATTTCACAATAATTACAATAGAATTTCAATACAACTAATCTAATTTAGATTCATCCCACTTCAGCAATACATTCTAATTCTTGTTCCATTCTCTTTGATGGGGAATTTTCCCAACTCTGTCCATAAAATGCCACAATAATGTCAAAATGACACATGGCTAATGTGTTATGATGTCATGATGCACTTATGTAATTATATCATGACATCTGATGCAAGAATATATGTAGTGACATTTGCATGATACCATCAGTTGTCCCTGCACTGCAGATATCCATATATTTGCATAACTACTTTCTTCCTTAGAAAAATGAACTGTTCTTTGATTATTTATTCTTGAGAGCACAAGACAGATAAAAACATTGTATAGCCACATTCAACTGGACTGCAATTCCCCAGAAAATGCTGGGCCCAGATCTGTTAAATAGTGATAATGATGATGCATTATTTGTATGAAGTTAAATCATTACTTACATCAACCTTCTTAAATAAGTAGAATAACTAACCAAACTATATAACCATTTATCAATATAGTGTACCAGCTACAGTGCTAGATTAGGATGAGCTTAAAGGTTCAGATCATCATTTGGTCATGATCTTGATCCACTCACCATAACACCCTAATATAGAGTACCTCAAGGAATGGATTGGCTTATAAGAATAAAATCAGAAAGGTAGAGACCTTGAATAGCAGCAAATTCTCTTGGAAAACAGGGGAAACATTTAATAAAGTTTATACATGTTCCTTTGAATTTGTTTGTGGCAGCCAAATATTGTCATCATTATTTTTAAAACTGCGGTCTTGTTTTGGAACCACCTGAACCAATCTTATTCACTTCATCTTTCCTGTAGAGTGTACCCTAAATCTGTAATGAACTTACAGTAATTAGATTTTATGAATAAGGAATCTTAAAAATAAAATAAAACATTTGTAAATGTCAGAGAGAAAAAAAATCTAGAACTCTAGTTCTTCCTATTCATTTTAAAGATAGCACATTGTTCTGCAAATGCATGCAGTAGATAAATATGTTAATATAGATTTCCCCATCCTACTGCCTGAGAGTTGTAGTCACAGCACATCTGAAATACGCCCCACTGGAGAAGGCTACACAATGTACTTTTTCAGGTAATAAAAATGATTTTAAAACATTTCAAATCAAATCTTTCCCAGTAATAGGAGTTGAGGCAATATTTAATTTGGCATTAGCACTAGCCATTACACATATCCATTATAGCACTGCTGTAATAATTCTGAAGGCTTCTTTTGACTTTGGCATTGTATAACTTGAACTGATATAAAAAAAGGTTATTTTAGTAATAGTAGGCATGCCACAATAGACCTATTGTTCATAGCTATCTTTTGTTAAGCATCTCTATTATTTGTACTTACTATATGAATAATAAGGCACTGACCACATCGTGAAGTACCTTTCTACTCTCTGTCCTCACTTTATTTTCTGAATTATTAACTGCATTCTTAGAAAATATCTTAGCCTGGAAATATAAAAAATATATGCTGTGACAATGAAAATTTCATTCTTTGCATGTTAAACAACAGCTTGGTCCTGGAACTGGTATCATCTCTATTCATTTGTTTAAAAGCTTTCTAAATGTAAGTCATCCCTGTGATTACGGATGATTAAGCATCAGAAGTCTGTTTACCATTAATGAGATATTTGAAAAATCTTTCTCAAAATGCTGGTTTTAATTCCCAGATAGGAACTACCCACAGTTCTCTTACTGGGACCATCTACTTTTTATTCCACACTATGGATGAGGAAGTTGTAATTAATAAATGAAATTACTGTTTTTCTTCAAACTTAGGAAACATTCTAGAAACATTTTTTTTCTCCCCAAATGTCCCTAAAAAGCTGCCCATATCCTCTGTTTTATTAAGACTGCAAAATATTTTATCCTCGTAACCCACTATCATGGAGTCTGTAGTTCAAGATATACATTTTGTGTCATTGATGTACATATACCCTTGAGCACTACAAACCAGAAAATATTTTCCCCATGACTATGTAGTCCTTAATAAA